AGCTAAGAAACTCAGTTTTAAATTTTAATTAATTTAAACTCAAAAACAAGCAGTGGGAAACTTCCTTATATTGATTACACATTGAAATAAAAATATTTTCAATGTCCTGGGTTAAATGAAGGTATTAATTTCTCCTTTGCTTTTACAAATGTAGCTACTGGAAAATTTAAAATTATATGTGGCTTTTATTTTTATCAGACAACTCTGGTTTAGAAAATAATTTCTGGCTGATTTCATCTTGCAGAGGGCAGTTTGCTGTCCCCCTCCGAGAGTATTGAAAAAAAGAAAAGCCATTCTTTTTTTCTTTTTGTACTTTATAATGCAAGTATATTAATTAAAAGGTCAAGGGGGAAAAGGTAAAGATGGAGTGTTCCAGACCTTTAATTACCTTTTCTCCCTTTTCATTGCATTCATTTGTATTCTTCATTTACCTATTACTGGTATTGCTTTGGGGTATTAGAGGATAAGTAGTGGTAAATCAGTACTGTAGTCGAGTGAAGACTTTGTACTATTAGTTTATAGTGTTGCTTATAGGGGAATATCACTATCACCTAATGAAGTGTTTTCTAATTTTTTTTCACTGCTCTGAAACTAAATTGCTACTAAATTTTATTTTTGACTTGAGAACATTTTTATGAACTAGATCCATTGCCAGCATTCTCTTATGCAAAGCTGAGAGGTATGCCTCTTGTCAGACTTAATTACCAAGTTTGGTATTTTGTAACAGCTGTTGAGTGAGTCTGGAATAGTCTGCAGTATCATACAAACACCAGTTGATTAGAAAGATAGAAATGGAACAAGAAGATATTTACCAATATTAAATGAAGGTATGAGCAAATATTATTTTTGGTACTGTAATAAAAAGTAAAATAGTTCTTGAAATTTATTTCAAGGGGGATTGACCAACAATACCCACTACCAGTGGTAACTAGAAAATGATACCTGTCAGACTACTTTTAGCTCCATTGTTTCTATTTTTAAAATGAGTTATTTATTTTTTCCTTCCATAAATTTCGTAGATATAGAAAGATACCAGTAAGTCAAGTTTTAAGTAAGATAAGGAATTCTGCTTTTCAGCTCGTTTGTAGCTCTCTTACTTTGCACAACACTGTTAAATTCATGCTTATTCTTAAGAAATGTGCAAAATTATAGCTGAAATTTTATTTGAATTAGTGATCTGAACAAAAGAGTATTTTTTTTGAATTACAGAAACAAGTAGGAGAAATATTTCTTAAATTTCTGTTGTAAAAAGTTACTTATGTAAACAAAAATAAAAAGATAGTGCTCACTTTTATAAAATGTGTTAAGTTTTGGAAACTGGCATTAGTACATTATTGTAAATTGATCTGAGAATAGGCTCTTAGATTTTTGTGTTTTGCATTATTTTAGTTAGTAAATAAAAATGACGAGATAAAATTAGTAAGCAGCAAAACAGTAATCAGTGTTCCTCTTAACATGCTTTTAACTTACAAAGTAAGTTTATTTGACATTTTTATTTAGTTTTTAAATATCTTCCATTTATGTTTTTGATGCTCTCTGAACTATAGATGGAGCGTTCTAAAATCCAAAACTTTGAGCACTGATGTGACACTCAAAGGAAATGCTCATTAAAGCATTTTGGATTTTTAGATTTGGGATATTCAACTGGAAATATATAGTGCAGATACATTGTTTTTAAATTCGAAATGTGAAACACTTCTGGTCCTAAGCATTTTGGATAAGGCATGCCCAACCTATAGTAGTATAAGCTTCATGAGGCCGGAGATCTGTTCACACTTGTGTCAGGTTTATAGCACAGGGTCTGGGCACATGGTAAATGTCAGCAACCATTTGTCAGTTGTACATAGAGTATTAGATCTTCTGGCTGATAACTTCATAGGTAATTTATGCTTATTTTATGTTCTTATCCTAAATTTAAAGTATGAATGAGTAAATTTTCTAAGTAAGTGTATGTATTTTACTCTAAATATAAAATATTTCTGAGATATATTATGTTGAATTTTAGGGGGGAAGGGGAAATCGAGGTCGGAAATATGTGCAAAAATTACACCTTGAAGAAGAAACTTCCATTGACATAACAATTTTAATAACACAAAATCATGGTTTTGAAAATGTGCCTCAAACTACCTAAGAATTCAGGGCACGTAATATGTAAGTAACTGTTAGGCAAATTTCATTTTGTTTATAAGCTGAAACATTAAACAATCTGGTAAAATTCTCTTGCTGTATTATTATTGAATAGTTGAAGCTCTGATTTTAATATGGTAAAGTTTTAGGGTGTGTCTTAATATAATTACATAAGGAATTAGTTTACCCAGGATAGTTTATTAATAGCACCCAAGACAAGAGCTAAATTGCAACACAAGCAGACTTTAAAGAGAATGCTTGCTAGAATAAATTTTAAAAACTGGAGAATTTGCTTTTCAAGGTTTTTTTTTCTTAGTGTATGTGAGTATTGTAGGGAGGCATTTTGAAAAAAATAATTGAGAATAATAATGTATCTTATACTTAATAATGCTAAGTTTTCTTAAAGTTGAACTACACAGGCTGATTGAATCCTTTGCTTCAGTGAAGCTGCAGATAAGAGTAAGCAGGGTCACCTAAAGATAGATTTACTTAGAGGTTTGGCTGCCTCTCTGGAACCATTTAGCTTTGAACAGATTTCCATAAATGGAAAGAGCAACTGGAGAGACCCAGTACCTTGTGGATGATGTGCAACAGGTGGTAGAACAGTCATTGGGTTTTTGAAATAAATGCTTTCCAAATGACTGTTGTTTAAGACTGAGGCTTTAGCATTTAGGGAACTTTGAGACTAACTGGATTTTTTTCCCCCAATTAAAAGTTTCCTGGAAACAGTTTTAAAAGATTCATATCGTTAGTGTGTAGTGCTTGTGAATTTGTAATATGACTTTATGAAATTTGTATAAACATTTACTTTTAGTTCCTTTAGGGGATATCTTAGAAAAATCTGTCAAGTTAGAGACTCTTAAATATTCATGTTTAAGAACCTCTTACCAAGATAATTATTCAGTATTTTAAGTCAGGGTGTGAAATTAATATATTATTAAGATAATAACATTTGTTCTTGAATTGCTGATTTTCCTGTAAGGTCAGTGGGTTGTCCTTAATTCAGTACATAAAAGAAATATCTGCCTGGCATGATGGCTTATGCCTGTAATCCCAGCACTTTGAGAGGCCGAGGCGGTTGTATCACCTGAGGCCAGTAGTTCGAAACCAGCCTGGCCAACATGGTGAAGCCCCGTCTCTACTAAAAATACAAAAATTAGCCGGGCGTGGTGGCATGTGCCTGTAATCCCAGCTACTTAGGAGGCTGAGGCAGGAGAATCTCTTGAACCTGAGAGGTGGAGGTTGCAGTGAGCCGAGATCATGCCACTGCACTCCAGCCTAGGCAACAGAGCGAGGCTCCGTCTAAAAAAAAAAAAAAAAAATCTGCATGTCTGCTCCATGAAAAGTCTATGTTGGGAACCATGGCATATGTAAAGATTGGTTAAGCTAGCCCCCCAGACCTCAAGAAGTTTACAGTCTTACAGGAATGATAAGAAATTATCATATTCTTGCCCTATGAAACAGGAAATTGAAGTTTGATAGAGATTAAGTTGCTTACCTCAGGTAACAGAAATAAGTGGCAGAGACTGGAACCCAAGCTGTTGGACCTGAAAGCCCAAACCACTGCTGTACACATAAACAAAGTAACATAATCAGCAAAGCATAAAGGAAGTGCTAGAAGAAGAGAAATACAAAGGGTGGTAGAATTTGAAGGCTTCATGGGAGGAATAAACTCTAAGAAAAAGTCTTAGGTTAAAACCCACTGAGGCTCTGAAGAGAGCAAGGTTAATTTTAAAGAAAGTTCCCCAGTACTCTGGCGGTAAATCTAATGCATGTTGTTATCCATCTTTAGGCAGCCGTGCCTGGAGAGTACAGTTGTCCCTCAGTATACCTGGGGTATTGGTTCCAGGATGCCTCCTTCACCTGGCAGATACTGAAATCCTAGAATGCTCAATCAAGTCCCTTATACAAAATGCTGTAGTATTTACATTGTATTTTTAATTGTTGTATTTTTTTTATTGCCTCTCCCTCCCCCGCAATATTTTCAATCTGAGGTTGGTTGAACCTGCTGATGTGGAACCCTTGGATATGGAGGGCTTACTCAGTCATTCAAGAGAGTCTGTAAGAATTGAATTAATTGATTAAATTAATTTATTGATTAAATTAAATTAACTTGGCATGATACATCAAAATATGTAATTGCCCTCACAGGGTTGTTAATCTACAACCAGCCTCTCCCTGCCCCTTCCTCCCTTCCTACAAGTTAGTATTGGCCTAAAATTGATGCAGGGTTCAAATTTCAAGGATCTTTCTTTGTTTTCCTTTGAGCAAGATTCAGAAACTTCTCCGTAATTTCTTTTGTTACTGTTTTGAGACAGTCTCACTCTGTCGCCCAGGCTGGAGTGCAGTGGTGCGATCTCGACTCACTGCAACCTCTACCTCCTGGGTTCAAGCAATTCTCCAGCCTCAGCCTCTTGAGTAGCTGGGAATTAACAGGTGTGTGCCACTATGCTCAGCTAATTTTTGTATTTTTTGGTAGAGATGGGGTTTCACCATGTTGGTCAGGCTGGTCTTCAACTCCTGACCTCAGGTAATCTACCCTCCTTGGCCTCCCAGAGTGCTGGGATTACAGACGTGAGCCACCGTACCTGGCCAACTTCTCAGTAATTTCTAATCAATGTCATTGGTTACTTTATAATCAACATTCATTTTATATCAGTATTCATTTTATAAAATGTAGATACTAGCTTTTAAAAAATTATTTCTGTAATTTATATAGACAAATATCAATGGCTTAGAGTTATTCATGTGTTATTTTATATTTATTTAGTTTTCATTTCTCTTTCAGGAGTGAATATGTTTATTTCTTAGTAATATGTTTTAGTCATGTGTTTAGTGTATTTTTAATTGAGTAGAACTTATTTTTCCTTCAGTGGAAGCATCAGTTCATAGCAGTAATGCACACTGTACAGATAAGACAATTGAAGCTGCTGAAGCCCTGCTTCATATGGAATCTCCTACCTGCTTGAGGGATTCAAGAAGTCCTGGTATGTAAACTGTTCATTCTTATGTTAAACGTGTCATACTACTTCATATGTCTAAAATAAAGTTTTGTTTTTTTAATCTAAGGGGATTGTTGGGAATTCTCAAAGATACATTATACATGAATATATGACAGCAGTAATTGAACTTTATTTGTCAAGGCCGCCAAGTCTTAAATACTTAATTTTCCTAACAAATGATACAGAGAATACCCACTATAGGTAGACAAATATTTATTAAATAGCTGTTTATACTGTAATGTCTATTTCCTTAACTCTGGACAAGTTATAAGCCTTCATAGTCTTTCAGAGTATGATAGATGGGAGCAGTTGCCTGTTAGGACCACTTTCAATCCTTTATTAAATGATAAGCAGGCAGTAACTCCAGAGAACCACATATGGTAGAGAGAGAAGGGAACTTTTGCCATATTTTTCACACATCCTTCAGATTGTGAGTTATTTTTTTGTGGTCCCTCTTAGTCTTTAAGAACAACTTTGATAGTCATTTTGTACAATTCTGATTTGTCCTAAATTTAATGCCCAAATGTTAATTTGACTTGTTACAAAAAGACTGGCTCACCTTCTCGTTGGGATTTACAATAAGAGCAACCATACTTCTTAATTTGAATAGAATCCTGTGTATTACTCAGAGATATGAGAATAAATTTGCAGTATTTTTGGTCAATCTATTAATCTAAGATAGTATGTATTAAGTGTATCTCTTAATTGAAATAGAAATGTCTTATCTTGGTTATTTGTGCATATTCGAAGGAAGCCAGAGCAACATTATTGTATGTGCTAGAATACCAGATAACAATCCGTATCTACTGTTTTGGTAACTAAAACATCAGGACTCTTATATTAAATAAAACTTTAAATACTGAAAGGTAATATTTCTTGTCTGTAATGAGCAAGTTTTCCTTTTCATATTCTAAAATGAACTATAGGTGCTTATGTTTTTACTGAGTACATATTTACAAATCTTTGAAATTTTGAGCCACATATTACCTGTTAAAAAATAATGATGGCTAAGTGGATAGAAAGTAATTATTAACTAACTCACTATTATACTATTATTTTCAAATGCTTTCACAACTGTTAGAATAATTTAGAATTTTTCTACATTGAGTTTGAAAGTATAAGTGTGAAAGAGTGGGGTGACTACTCATGGTCCTTGCTTTACCCAGAGAATTAACATTTTTCCTTTAAGTTGATTTTCCTTGCATTTATTTTCCTTGTATAGTTTAAATCATATTGAATATTCAGTAAATTAGCTCTTATCCTGCTTTGATTAATTCTTAATAAATCTCACCTCTTCTAAATATTGAACTATCCACATAAGAAACATTGATGGGGGTGGGAAATTTTAATTTTTCAACTTTTTTTTATAGTGGAAGTGTTTGTTCCTCCTTGTGTATCAACTCCAGAATTTATCCATGCTGCTATGAGGCCAGATGTCATTACAGAAACTGTAGTGGAGGTGTCAACTGAAGAGTCTGAACCAATGGATACCTCTCCTATTCCAACATCACCAGATAGCCATGAACCAATGAAAAAGAAAAAAGGTAGAGTATATTTATACATTTCTGAGAAGGCAGGTGAAAATTTTTTTCTTACCTTTTTCCTCATCAAGGGACATAGAAAATAGTATATGCTGTAGATTTAAGATTGAAGTTATCTTAACTAGATATTCTCAAATAATCAACACTGAGATTTTAATTTAGTGTTTTAACATACTCATACTGTTTAAAGGAGTTAGTATGTAAGGCTTGAGGATAATTGTGTGACAATGATATCTAACAGGTGTTCGACACACAGAAGGCAGATCAGAGATTCCCTGCACCTTGTCTTACTCCATCTTCTCTTTGTTGATCCTTTAATGGGTACTTGGTTACTTAAAGTACCACACACACACACATACACACCCCATTTTATTCTTTATTTTACAAAGTCTTGTCTTCTCTTGCTTTCATGGATATTTTTTAAAAAGCCAGGCACACCTTTAGTCCCAGCTGCTCAGGAGGTGAGAGGATTGCGTGAGCCCAGGAGTTTGAGGCCAAACTGGGCAACATAGCAAGACCCTATCTCAAAAAACCTAAATAAACAGTGAGAGAGAGAGAGATACGTCATACTGTATATATTATATGTCACTTATATACTAGATACAATATATGATACATAGTATGATATATATATACTATATATTATATATCATTTATTATATATCATGCTGTTTTTACCTTATACCTTCTGCTTTGAAACACTAAGATTGCTGATAGAGACTTCTGATTAGCATAAACTCACCAGTGGGTAAAGAGCATTTCCACTTACTATGACTCCTGCTGAAATTTCTGCTCCCCTCATCCCAATAGCACATTTTCAACATCATGAGGACATGGGCAGTGAGTCTTTTTCTGTTGAAATCAAGGGTAAAATTGGAAAGAAATGACATTCTAAGTAATTGAGTACTCATCTAATTCTCCTTTCTTCTCTAACTCTTCACATTTTAGAGTAAAATAAAGGTAAAAATAAAGGTGCATTTGAAATAATGGTATTTCCTTTTATTCATTAAATATAGTGTTTCAGATTGCCACAGTGTGTACCATTCTGTGGTCATTGTTGTAAGGGAGATGAGAATAAGACAGTGTCTTCCGCTTGCAATACATATAGATTATATGCATCTCGAGAGAGGTATACATGAGAGAATTTAGGAGGAAGAATTACTTCCTGATGTAATCATTTAAAAACAAAAGGCATACATATAAATAGCCTTATTTACCCACTGCCTGCTATAGCACTTGACTGGTTGCATCCAATGAGAGCTGTCACAAAATACTTAAGAAATGTTTGTTTAGATTTAATGCTGGGCACGATGGCTCATGCCTGTAATCCCAGCACTCTGGGGGTCTCAGGTGGGCAGATCACTTGAGGTCAGGAGTTCAAGACCAGCCTGGTCAACATGATGAAACCCTGTCTCTACTAAAAATGCAAAAATTAGCCGGTCGTGGTGTTACATACCTATAGTCCTAGCTATTCGGGAGGCTGAGGCAGAAGAATTGCTTGAACCCGAGAGGTGGAGGTTGTAGTGAGCTGAGATTACACCAGTGCACTGCAGCCTGGGTGACAGAGTAAGACTCTGTTTCCAAAAAAAAAAAAAAAAAAAAAAAAAACCACACACATTTAAAGGAAGATGGAAAAGACCATGAAAAACAGGGGCCATGTTGGGAGCCAGGATGTGATATTCTATAAACCAGGAAATACTTTGCCAGTTTAATAACAATTTTATTTATTTCTGTGAAAGCCCTTAATGACCATTTAAAAATTACAAGCCTGGGTGTGGTGGCTCACGCCTGTAATTCCAGCACTTTGGGAGGCTGAGGCAGGAGGATTGTTTGAGCTCAGGAGTTTAAGACCAGCCTGAGCAACATAGTGAGACTTCATCTCGAGGAATTAAAAAAAATTAGCCAGGTATGGTGGCACATGCTTGTAGTCCTAGCTACTCGGGAGGCTGAGGCAGGAGGATCGCTTAAGCCTGGGAGGCTACAGTGAGCCATAATCGTGCCACTGCATTCCAGCCTGGGTGACAGAGTGAGATCCTGTCTCAAAGAAAAAAAAAATACATGTAACCATTCTGTCTGTACTTATTACCATAAGGGAGACAATGAAGAGTAAGAGCATCATTATTTATATTTTTGTGGTTAAGTACATTTGGGATATGCAAACTTAGATAGGTTATTTTTTAATAGCAGTCCCTCTTTTTATTTTGAGATCGTTTAATATACTAATGTACATTGTGGATCTTGCTATCTTCCAAGAGAAGATAGCGTATGGTGTTCTAAAAGTTAATATGAATATAGAACCCATTTTCCTACGGAGGAAATTTATTAAGGAACATGACTTTGGACGTGCTGCTTTGTGAGAAAATAAATTAAACCTTTTTGCACTAACTTTTCTACTAAATTGGGCTTTTGTACTAGAATTTAGGAGATGCTGAAGATGTTAGTTTTATTACTGTCTGATTCATATGTATAAATATTATTTAAATTGAGTAATTAGGCTGTATTCTAACAGAGACCAGTGAACTTTGTTTTATTTTTTGTTACAGACTTCTTGATTAGAATTACCAGAATTCTAAAGTATATCTGTGCATTTTGAAATATAGATGTTCAGATGCTTTAATTAGTTCTTTATATAATTAATTATATAGATTAATTAATTTAATGTTTCCTAATGAAGAATAGAGTGACATCAGAAATCTCAGGTGTAGAACAATCACCAAATCAGTAATAATACATTTGATCGTGTCTGTAATCCAGCACTTTGGGAGGCTGAGGTGGGCAGATTGCCTGAGCTCAGGAGTTCAAGATCAGCCTGGGCAACATGGTAAAACCCGTCTCTACAAAAAATATAAAAATTAGCCGGACGTGGTGGTGCATGCCTTAGTCCCAGCTACTTAGGGGGCTGAGGTGGGAGGATTGCTTGAACCCAGGCTGTAATGAGCCATGTTCGCACCACTGCACTCCAGTCTGGGTGACAGAGTAAGACTCCATCTCTTAAAAAAAAAGTGTGTGTGTGTGTGTGTGTGTGTGTGTATTTGATTTTAAAATACAGCATACTTACATATTTCCAGTTTATTTCTTGAGTCTGCCAGGGTGTTCATCCATCTGTGCTCAGGATTGAATGTAGCTCATTCAGGCTTAATCCTCTTTCGTGTAGAAAAGTATATAGCCCTTATTTTTTCTATTCATTGTGGATGCTAGTCTATCTGAGAGAGCCTTATGGCAAAAATGAGGAGGAACAAAAGGGAAGGACACAAACCTTTATTAGACATAAAAAGCACTTGGAAGTTTTTTTACCCTTGTAATGTCTCTGCATGTGGAAGTGGGGAAATTGAAACACTTACGCTTACCTTCTGGTGAATTAACTGATCCAGAGCAGTAGAGAGTGTTTGATATTTTTTACTTTTCCTCATTTGAGTTCAAAGGGCTTTGCAAATTATCATATCATCTGCAATAAGTTGCTAAAGCTGTTTCTCCCAATCCTATAGAACAGAAAACAAATTAAGTTTTTACTAGGATTTGTTTCTATTGCTACACTAATATAAAAGGTTGGCAAGGCCATGTACAGTGGCTCATGCCTGTAATCCCAGCACTTTGGGAGGCCAGGGCGGACGGATCACGACGTCAGGAGATCGAGACCATCTGGCTAATATGGTGAAACCCTGTCTCTACTAAAAATACAAAAAATTGGCTGGGTGTGGTAGCGGGTGCCTGTAGTCCCAGCTACTTGGGAGACTGAGGCAGGAGAATTGCTTGAACCTGGGAGGCAGAGGTTGCAGTGAGCCGAGATCGTGCCACTGCACTCCAGCCTGGGCGACAGAGCAAGACTCCATCTCAAAAAAAAAAAAGAAAAAAAAAAAAGATTGGCAAATCAAGGCTCTGACCAATGTATATGGCAATCGAGGCTCTGCCAATGTGTATGACAGAGATTACTACTTACTGCTGTAATCTAAAATACAGGAAGTGTTTTTAGTACTCCTTTTAGAAGCAGCTTTTCATACAGAATATATTTATCTACAAATTAGTGTCCATTTAAATGAATAATGTGTAATCAGAAAGTCTGCTAATCGTGCCTCTCATATTTTTCTTGTTTTCAACGTATGGTTTCAATATCTTATTTTTTCAGTTGGCCGTAAACCAAAGACCCAGCAATCACCAATTTCCAATGGGTCTCCTGAGTTAGGTATAAAGAAGAAACCGAGAGAAGGAAAAGGTAATGTGGGAAGGGTTGCTTTGGAAGTGAGATGATTTTTTTTCAGTTAGGTGACATTTTTGCATTTGTAAGAAAATTATTTCTAGTACATGCACATATGAGAATACTGTCGTTGGTAATAGTTCTTAATAAGGGATGTATCAGCATCATGGGGGGAGCTTTTTCAAAATACCTTTGCCTAGTTCCTACACCACAGAGATTGTGTAGCCATAGTTGTATCATGGGGGATATAGGGACTTTTGGAAAAAGTCCTAAGGAAGTCTGATACATATTCTCCTTAGCCATTGACTTAGGGGATATATGTATGTATAATAGCACCCATCCTCATATATAGCTACCCATAATTCAAAGGGGTATACAACTAAGCCTTGTTTCTAATAGATAATTTCTTTCTTTTATTATTTTTGTGAGACACTGTCTTGCTGTGTTGCCCAGGCTGGTGTGTGGTGGTGTGACCATGGCTTACTGCAACCTTGACCTCCTGGGCTTAAGCAATCTTCCCGCCTCGCCTTCTGAGTTACTGGGACCACAGGCGCATGCCACCATCCCTGGCTAATTTTTTATTTATTTATTTATTTTTTAGTTTTTTGTAGAGATGAGGTCTTACTATGTCACCCAGGCAGGTCTTAAACTCCTAGGCTCAAGTGATCCTTCCGCCTCAGCCTCTGAAAGTGCTGGGACTACAGGCATGAGCCACCGCACCTAGCCTGATACATAACTTTTTTTTTTTTTTTTTGAGACGGAGTCTGGCTCTGTCGCCCAGGGTGGAGTGCAATGGCCGGATCTCAGCTCACTGCAAGCTCCGCCTCCCGGGTTCACGCCATTCTCCTGCCCCAGTCCCCCGAGTAGCTGGGACTACAGGCGCCCGCCACCACGCCCGGCTAGTTTTTTGTATTTTTTTAGTAGAGACGGGGTTTCACCGTGTTAGCCAGGATGGTCTCGATCTCCTGACCTCGTGATCCACCCGTCTCGGCCTCCCAAAGTACTGGGATTACAGGCTTGAGCCACCGCGCCCGGCCCTCATAACTTCTTAACTGTTTAGAAGCAATGCAAGAATTCAAAGCGAGCTAAATTTTAATTTTCCAGTCAACAAATTTCAGTCACATCAGTCACAATTCAGAACAAAACCATGCTTATTTGCTTATTTATTGACTGACTTTTACAGACAGGGCTGGAATGCAGTGACGTGACCATAGCTCACTGCAGCCTTGTACTACTCTGCTTATAGCCTCCCAAGTAGCTGGGACTACATGCACACACCACCGCACCCAGCTAATTTTTTTTGTTTGTTTTTTTAAGAGATGAGGTCTCATGCTTTGTTGCCCAGGCAGGTCTCCAACTCCTGGCTTCAAGAGATCCTCTGGCCTCACACTCCCAGAGTGCTGAGATTATAAGCATGAGCCACTGCCCCTTGCCTATTTTTGCTTTAGAATTCGTGTATCTTGATTAAAGATAAAAACAGCACCAAATCTCCCCCATTCTGTGCTTTCTTAATTTGTCGAGTAAGATGATTTCAAGTAACATTTCTTTTTAATATTATTTTTATTACTTTTTTATTATCTTTTTTTAAATTTTATTTTAAAATCTTCTGTAGAAACAGGATGTCCCTATTTTGCCCTGGCCTCAAGCGATCCTCCCATATTGGCCTCCCAAAATGTTGGGATTATAGGCATGAGCCACCACACCTGGCCTTTAATTTTATTGTCACTCAGATTCTGACAGATAAAGTGTCATTTCAGTAGTGGTTTTAGATGTGTTCTCTCTGCCAGTCTGATAACCAAAAATTTATCACTTTCATGAATAAGTGTTTTCAGACCAATATTCAATAGTTGGATAAATTTTACATTAATATATTTAAATTTATTCTGTCCTTATCAGGTGGTTTGACTTAATAATTTTAAATAATTAAAACAGAAATTAAGTCTAGTTAAAAAAAATTGTCTCCAGTAAGCCTTCCAAGAAATTTGGTATTTCGATAGGCCAAAAAAAAAAAAAAAAAAAGTGACATTGAACACTTACTCAGGAACTGGTGACCCAGTTTGGGGGAGGCTTAGGATACTTTTCTTACTTCCTTGTTTGTCTTTGGTTGTTGTACACTTCTAACATCTCAGGTTTCCTCTTTTAATTTATATTGAAAACTTTAAAAGTTAACATAGCGGTAAATATTAGAAAACTAAACTATAAATATACAGTTATTACTATTGTCTTTTAAATAATTCTTATCCTCAGGGGTATCACTTATACTCGAACATCTTTTGCTTAAGACTGGAGAAAAAGTCTGTGACCAGTTTTTACCAATTTAAATCATATCTCATTACAATTTCAGTCTTGTATTAAATTTGAGGCAGTGTTATAATGTAATTAATTAAAGCTATTACAGTCAAACCTATATTCAAAATCCAACCAGTGTTTTTTCTTTTGTAAAATTATGATAATAATGTTTGTCATAGGCAAATTCCTTGTTACCTGGTAAAGAAACCTTCTCTTTCTGAATCCTGTTTTCCCTAAAATCAGAAATAGAATTTTTAATAATTTTTTTCTTTAGAGACAGGGTCTCACTCTTGTCACCCAGGCTGGAATACAGTGACATGATCATGACTCACTGCAGCCTCAACCTCCCAGGCTAAAGTATTCTTCTGCCTCAGCCTCAAGTAGCTAGGACCACAGGCACATACCACCATGTCTGGCTAATTTTAAAATTTTTTGTAGAGACAGGTCCCCCTATGTTGCTTAGGCTATTCTCATACTCCTAGGCTCAAGTGATCCTTCAGCTTTGGCCTCCTTAGAATTGTTCATTTTAACTTGGGGATGGCAACGTGGGTGCAGTGAGTATTTAAAGATAATCTGAGGGGTTTTGATGAGTTTAATTCAAAACATGGAAACATTCAGATATCTTATGTACAAGGCATTGTCTATATTATACAAAAATTTCTTCCAGAATAAAATCTTTACTCACACTTACTACTATGTGAACAAAATAAAAATGCCCCAGCTACACATTTTTATGTAACTGAAGATTATACATGGTTTGTTTTAATAGTTTTTAGGTAGTGATGCTGATGTAATAGAATCCTAGAGATACAAATGTAACATTGTGAAGTTGAAAGTCAGCTTTTTTTTTTTTTTTTTTTTTTTGAGATGGATTTTAGCTCTTGTTGCCCAGCCTGGAGTGCAATGGTGCGATCTCAGTTCACCGCAACCTCTGCCTCCTGGGGTCAAGCGATTCTGCTGCCTCAGCCTCCCGAGTAGCTGGGATTACAGGCATGTGGCACCACGCCTGGCTAATTTTTATATTTTTAGTAGAGATGGGGTTTCTCCATGTTGGTCAGGCTGGTCTCAAACTCCCGACCTCAGGTGATCCGCCCACCTTGGCCTCCCAAAGTGCTGGATTACAGGTGTGAGCCACCACGCCTGGCCGAAGGTCAGCTTTTTTAGGTCAACAGATGCATAACGGGCTCAACTCTGCGTTATTAATGAATTTACTGGATTTTCAGGGAAAGCCACAGTGAAAGTGAAATGCCAGAGAAAAAACATCAGTATTTTGATTGAAGGTGTTGGGGTAGTGGTGGCCGTTTTGGGACTGTATTCTCTTCTTCTTTTTTTCTCTTTTTCTTGAGACGGAGTCTCGTTCTGTTGCTCAGGCTGGAGTGCAGTGGCGTGATCTCTGCTCACCGCAACATCCGCCTCCCAGGTTCAAGTGATTCTCCTGCCTTTGCCTCGCAAGTAGCTGGGATTACAGGCACCTGCCATCATGTCTGGCTAATTTTTGTATTTTTGTAGAGAGAGGGTTTCACCATGTTGGCCAGGCTGGTCATGAACTCCTGACCTCAGGTGATCTGCCCACCTTGGCCTCCCAAAGTGCTGGGATTACAGGCATGAGCCACCGTGCCCAGCCTTCTGTTCTTCTATTAATAAGAACTTGGCATCTAGAGGTTATGAAGAGAATAAAATAAAAACAACCTGAAAAGCCTCTTCTCATGACCGCTGCCCACTACTCTCCCCTCCTTAATAAGGGAAAAAAGAGTGTGATACTTTCTTCCTTTTGGGATTAATTTTTTTATTTTACTTACCCAGATTCCTTTTCATTCTTTTATGCACATCCTAGCCATCTTCCAAAACTTCATGATGGCCTCTCAGTCCACTTTATTTTCACTCCTGGAATCCCACAGACATTATTTTCTGTGATTACTTGGGATATAGTTAATTATGCATTGCTTTGTGATAGACCTTATATTGTTTCAAATTGTTATTTATTTCTTGCATTGTTGTTTAACTTGTCATCTACTTTCTTTTCCCTTCTCAACTAAATTATAAATTCCTTGAGGCAGGGACCAGGTTTTAAATTCATCTCCTTAAGCATGATATGTGATGAATAAGCATTTTGTTCTGCAGAAATATTCTAATATTTCCTCATTTTAAAATTTTTCTAGCAGTGTGATACAGAGCTAATGTTATAGTTAACATTTGATGAATACTTGACTAGTTTTAAGGAATTACCATATTTTTCCATTTTAGGACCTCAGATTTTAAGATACAGGTATAGACAATGAAATCCTTTAAATATTATCTTCCGTCTACTGGGTGTAATCAGTAGAAAGTGATTAGAAATTTTTTTTTAAATCTGTTTTTAGAGGCAGTAATGTTCTTTTTTTTTTTCTTTTTCCTGAGACAGGGTTTCACTCTGTCACCCAGGCTGGAGTACAGTAGTGCGATCTCAGCTCACTGTAACCTCTGCTTCCTGGGTTCAAGCGATTCTCGTGCCTCAGCCTCCCAAGTAACTGGGATTATAGGTGCATGCCACCATGCTCAGCTAATTTTTATACTTTTAATAGAGATGGGGCTTCACCATGTTGGCCAGGCTGGTCTCGAACTCCGGACCTCAGGTGATACGCCCACCTCCCAGCCTCCCAAAGTGCTGGGATTACAGGCGTGAGCCACCACATCCAGCCAACAGTAAAGTTCTTTGCTATCAAGTCTTAATTGACTGGTAGTACAGAGGAAAATGATAAGAAAATACTTAAAGGGTTGAGGGTAGTTTGCACTTATAATATATATATCTCAGAGTTCATGCCTGTAGGTGAATCAAAGAAAAGTAAGTTTCTTACAAAAAGATCCTAGGTCTGATGCCTAAAAGTTTTACACATTTCATTGCATTTTGCTTGCCTATCCAACAAAATTACTAAGTACCTTTTGATGAATTTTGATCATGGAATTTAGGCTTATCATATGATAAACAAAGGTGTAAACAAATTTATTCAGAGTTTAAATCTGTATAAACTAATAAACTTGATTCTGTTTAATTCAGGTTAACTTTGCCTAAGCAATTATGCCTTTGCCTTTACTGAACTCAAAATCTAGGATAGGGTGATATGTAATAGTACAAACGCCAGAATCTGTATTTTAGCATCATAACTGTAAGCATACGTAGGGGATACCATTTTTTAAAAGTAGAAACAGGCTGGACGCAGTGGCTCACACCTGTAATCCCACAATTTGGGGAGCCTAGGCGGGCGGATCACCTGAGGTCAGGAGTTCAAGACCAGCCTGGCAAACATGGTGAAACCCTGTCTCTACTAAAAATACAAAAATTAGCCTGGTGTGGTGGAATGTGTGTGTAATCCCAGCTACTCGGGAGGCTGAGGCAGGAGAATTGCTTGAACCTGGGAGGTGGAGGTTGCAGCGAGCCGACATTGTGCCACTGCACTCCAGCCTAGATGACAGAGCAAGTCTCCGTCTCCAAAAAAAAAAAAATGTAGAAACAAGTATATTCAGGATTTTTAAGTTACGATGAAGGACACTTTATTTGCTTTTAATTATGTATTTAATTATGTTAATGAATTTGTAATCAATGTCTGTCATTGTTTTTAAAGGAAACACAACCTATTTGTGGGAGTTTCTTTTAGATCTACTTCAAGATAAAAATACTTGTCCCAGGTATATTAAATGGACTCAGAGAGAAAAAGGCATATTCAAGCTGGTGGATTCAAAGGCTGTCTCTAAGCTTTGGGGAAAGCATAAGAACAAACCAGACATGAACTATGAAACCATGGGACGAGCTTTGAGGTAAAAACACAAATGAGCTAATATTCACACAAAATTTATGTATTTCTTTATATTGTCTATTAGCTGTTTAAAGAGAAGCTGAAAATCCTTTACAACTTTTAACTTTGGGGGATATTCTAGAGGAGCATCTTAGATTTGGAAGTAGATGGGGAGATAGGAGTTTAGTCTACAGGCTTATCATTTTAACATAATTGGAAAATTCATTTTTGCAGAAAATGTGCTTTTGTACTTAGGACTATTTCTTAATAGTGTGAAGTTGTAGGCTTAAAAAAAATTAAGCCTAAACAAATTATGGTTCCTAAAGTTAATTTGTATTTTAGTTTTTAGGAGTTTGTTATAAATAGATTTATGTTGATAGGAAAATTTAAGTTTTATCAGTTTGGCCGGGCATGGTGGCTCATGCCTATAATCCCAGCACTTTGGGAGGCTGAGGCGGGCAGATCACTTGAGGTCAGGAATTCAAGACCAGCCTGGCCAACGTGGGGAAACCCCATCTCTACTAAAAATACAAAAATTAGCCGGGTGTGGTGGTGCTCGCCTGTAATCCCAGCTATTCAGGAGGCTGAGGTAGGAGAATCGCTTGAACCCAGGAAGCAGAGGTTGCAGTGAGCCAAGATTGTGCCATTGCACTCCAGCCTGGGCGACAGAACGAGACTCCGTCTCAAAAAAGAAAAAAAAGAATTATCAGTTTGATAAACCCACAAAATTCTTTCATTAGAAAGTACATGGCTTCTTCTAATTAAAGGTGTTTTTAAGTGAACACATGGTTTATGTGACAGTATTTGCAAATCTCTACTAAGTGTGGCTTAGATAATTTTTCCAGTAATATCAGTTTGTTTTTATAACCTATGTAAATCAGAAAAGAATTTCTACCAGTGTCAGTATAGTAAAATACTCAATGATAAGGTAAATTATTTCTTTAAGAAAACGAATGAACTTTCAGCTACTTTATAGATCTTAAGTTTGTAGGACCTTGGCGCCAGGTTCCAACCTGATTCCTACTCTAAATTTGTAACCTTTTGAGCAGTCTAGGCAGTAAGAGTTTTTTTTTTTCTCATCTGTTATTAGGGATAAGGGAATGTTTCTATTAGTATGCACTGTACATAGTCTTTTTGGTGGGGATAGAGTGGGGTGAAGAAATAATATACTTGATTCATTTGGTACATTTTCCCCTTACAGATACTACTACCAAAGGGGAATTCTTGCAAAGGTTGAAGGACAGAGGCTTGTATATCAGTTCAAGGATATGCCCAAAAACATAGTGGTCATAGATGATGACAAAAGTGAAACCTGTAATGAAGATTTAGCAGGAGCTACTGATGAAAAATCATTAGAACGAGTGTCACTGTCTGCAGAAAGTCTCCTGAAAGCAGCATCGTCTGTTCGCAGTGGAAAAAATTCATCCCCTATAAACTGCTCCAGAGCAGAGAAGGGTGTCGCTAGAGTTGTGAATATCACTTCCCCTGGGCACGATGCTTCATCCAGGTCTCCTACTACCAATGCATCTGTGTCAGCAACAGCAACTCCAAGGTAAGTGAGGCAAACCATTAGTTATAATGTATTTACTTTTTAAAAAAGTCTCCTTGGTGAAAGCGAAATGTCTCTTTGCTTAATATTAGTGTTCTAAGAACCCAGTGTTGTCAGGACTTTGAAAAGTGAAATATTTTAATTATATTTTTTATTGTTGTTAAAGTAGATGTCTTGCTGGGTTCAGTGGCTCACGCCTATAATCCTAGCACTTTAGGAGGCCAAGGCAGGAGGATTGCTTGAGGACAGGAGTTCAACACAAGCTTTGGCAACATAGACCTCCTCTCTATAAAATAAAAATAAAAAATTGCTGAGCATGGTGGCACATACCTGTAGTCCTAACTACTCAGGAAGCTAAGGCAGAAGAATCACTTGAGCTTAGGAGTTGGAGGTTGTAGTAAGCTAAGATTGCACCGCTGTACTCCAGCCTAGGCGACAGACCGAGACCTTATCTCAAAAAAAAAAAAAAAAAAAAAAAGTAGATGTCTTAAATTACCTGAATTGGTTTTTATGGTTTTATAGATGGAGCTTAATGTAGGCTTTAGTTTTTAAAATATATTTGTGTCATGGTATGTTTGTGTCAGACATCAGGAATTGCCAGTATCTCTGTAAAATTTGGGAGTACTAGTTTTACACATTTTGGATTTGTATTCATCTTTTACTCAGGAGACCTATTTTCTCATTTGGCATTAAATATAATCAGCTTTTTTCTTTCTAATGTACTAGGACAGTTCGTGTGGCAATGCAGGTACCTGTTGTAATGACATCATTGGGTCAGAAAATTTCAACTGTGGCAGTTCAGTCAGTTAATGCAGGTGCACCATTAATAACCAGCACTAGTCCAACAACAGCGACCTCTCCAAAGGTAGTCATTCAGACAATCCCTACTGTGATGCCAGCTTCTACTGAAAATGGAGACAAAATCACCATGCAGCCTGCCAAAATTATTACCATCCCAGCTACACAGCTTGCACAGTGTCAACTGCAGACAAAGTCAAATCTGACTGGATCAGGAAGCATTAACATTGTTGGAACCCCATTGGCTGTGAGAGCACTTACCCCTGTTTCAATAGCTCATGGTACACCTGTAATGAGACTATCAATGCCTACTCAGCAGGCATCTGGCCAGACTCCTCCTCGAGTTATCAGTGCAGTCATAAAGGGGCCAGAGGTTAAATCGGAAGCAGTGGCAAAAAAGCAAGAACATGATGTGAAAACTTTGCAGCTAGTAGAAGAAAAACCGGCAGATGGAAATAAGACAGTGACCCACGTAGTGGTTGTCAGTGCGCCTTCAGCTATTGCCCTTCCTGTAACTATGAAAACAGAAGGACTAGTGACATGTGAGAAATAAAATAGCAGCTCCACCATGGACTTCAGGCTGTTAGTGGCAGTACTGACATAAACATTTGCAAGGGAAGTCATCAAGAAAAGTCAAAGAAGACTTTAAAACATTTTTAATGCATATACGAAAACAATCAGACTTACTGGAAATAAATTACCTATCCCATGTTTCAGTGGGAAATGAACTACACATTGAGATGCTGACAGAAAACTGCCTCTTACAGTAGGAAACAACTGAACCCATCAATAAGAAAAAGGATTGAAAGGGACCAAGCAGCTCACTACGATATCAAGTTACACTAAGACTTGGAACACTAACATTCTGTAAGAGGTTATATAGTTTTCAGTGGGAGGGGTTGGGATGGGTGATCTTATTGTTACATATAGCAATTTTTGATGCATTTTATATGCATACCAGCAATTATTACTGTGTTCGCACAGTTCTCACTTAACTGGTGCTATGTGAAGACTCTGCTAATATAGGTATTTTAGAATGTGAATTGAAGAATGGATCCCAAAAACTTCAGAAAGAGGATAGCAAAAAAAGATCTAGTGCGATTTTTATATATATATATATACACACACACATATATATATATCATATAGCTTAAGCTGATTTAAAACAAAGGCCTTAGACTAATTTTCGGTTTTCTTTCTTGAAATAAGCTAATGGCTTGTTTGTGTAAAGCTTTTTTATTAAAAGAAAAATTTTAAAAATCTTGTACCTAGCACAGTATTGTTATAGAATTTACATGTAACATTTTATATGGTAGTTTAAGTCTGTCAGTTTCTTAATTGTGGACAGATTAACAGTTGGCTCTGGCCTTTTGCTGTAACATGCCTGTGTCACTCAGCCCTGGCATTTGTGCAGACATATCATTTTCAGTTCTGCTGTCACTTGGAAGTTCAGGCTCAGCATGAATTTTTGTCAGGTAGCTCTAATACCTGGAGTTTTCTTTCTTTCTTTCTTTCTTTTTCAGTTGAAGTTTATGAGGGAAATACCAGTGTTCAGATTTGAACTATAATAGTTTGTATATTCAACATTTGAAGTATATTCTATTTTGTTGTACTCTTGTTTCAAAGTGTATTCAAGTAGGTTTTCTGAAATATAGAAATGAAATTTATCTTCTGTTTTGGTCTCTGGTGATATTTTTAACAATATTTAAAAGCCAGCATAGACGTGTTTTAGTTAAGAAGTGATAAAATATCTCTATTTCTCCTTCCCAACTACTGCATGAAGAAATTCTACTTCTGTTTTGTTCCATTATATTAACATTTGGCAAATATCTGCATGTTGCCAGTTTCTTTCTAGTTGTAATGATGTTCTGCTTAACATAATGAATTTAGTATTTTAGTTGGCTGCACTTAAAGAATTTATAAAACACTTCAAACCATTTGTTTCACAATCAGACCTTTTGTGGAGAAAAAGAACAATTACTCTTCTAGCCCTTTTACAGATTAGGAAGTTAAGGTATCTGAAGGATTATATAAACTATGTAATTTCACTACTGTCTGTCACTACATATCTTAATGCTCTTTTCTACTACAAAGAAAAGGTATCTATTTTTACATCTTTTAGAAATTTAGATGAAATCATACTTAATATTTTTTGTCTTTTATTTGTACATTTGATCACATACTACTTAGGTCAGAGATTGTTTATAACAGTTCCCTTTGTAATCTGTTAAACTTTTCCATAAATGTGTTGATGATACTTTTATACAAAAGCTCAAAGAAAAACTCACTTGATTCTTTTCCCATTTGGGAGTTACTCTCAAATTCTACCTCCTTTTAAAACATTTCCAAAATATTTCAGGTTTGAAAATTGTGCTTTGGCACTTAAGTGTATTATCTTGTTTATTGCACTGTGACTTCATTTGTTTAGTCATGTCTTCCGTAATGGTCATTTAGAGCAACAATTATTTTATGCTATACCTACCCCTCTCCCCAAGTGCTAAGCATATTAGACACTCGGGTCAGACATTTATTGATTTTGGGAACATTTGCTGAGAATATAAGTTACATGCTTAAAGACTTTCCTTCTATGCTGGATTCTTAATTGGTTCTAACAGGGTTAAACCAGGGCTATCCAGCTACCTCTGCTACTCTACTGGAAATTTTTTTCTCTTTGATAATAAGCACATCTAAAGTCTAGACCTGGGGCCAGGTGCAGTGGCTCACGCCTGTAATCCCAGCACTTTGGGAGCTGAGGCGGGTGGATTGCTTGAGGCCAAGAGTTTGAGATCAGCCTTGCCAACATGGTGAAACCCCGTCTCTACTAAAAATAGAAAAATTATCCAGGAGTGGTGGCACATGTCTGTAATCCCAGCTCCTCAGGAGTCTGAGGCACAAGAACCTCTTGAATCTGGGAGGTGGAGGTTGCAGTGAGCCAAGATGATGCCACTGCATTCCCTCCAGCCTGGATGACAGTGAGATTGTCTCAAAGAAAAAAAAAAAAAAGTCTAGACTTGGAAACATACATATTGACAGTATATACTGATCAGAATGTTGCAGATTGAAATTATCAATGATGTGCCTCACCCCCATCCTTCCTGCCCTTTTAATGTTATGGCTTTTAATCTGAGCCCTTTCAAACTGTAAATCAACATAATTTATAGTTGCTTTTTTGTGTCCAGTCTGTTAGAGGGAAAAAAGCCCACATAACCTTGGCTTGATGCTACTACATTTTCTAGCCTTACTAGATCTTTAAATTATGATCAGTAGTCTATCAGTTTATTCTTTAGGCCACTTTCCAGCAACAATTCCAGCCACACCAGATAACCAGTATACCTCTATACAGAGAACTTGGTCATGAGCTGTGAATTCCCTCCATTCCTGGACCCCTTGCTACAGATGATTTACTTACTCCAACATCCATCCTTACCACCTGTCTCAGGAAGGAGGTGCCCTTCCTCCTGTACTCAGCATCTTTCTTTCACACCTACTTGGTCTCCTTGCTCCCACAATTAATAGCCTATCATTCTGTCCCTTCTTTTTCTTCAAACAGCCTGCAGTCTGAATTCTTGCTTAGAAACAGTTCTCCGTGAGATCTCCAATAACACAGTTGTCAAATTAAACAGACACTTTGGTTCACTTAATCTCATGCCTACTTCTCAAAACTCATTTGGTTTCCCATGTTTACTTTCTGCCTAACCAACTTAATTTTTCTTTGTTCTTTCTGCCTATGGGCTTCTTTTCCTCATAGAATTGTTTTAAGGATTAAATGAGTTAATATATTAAGGATTTGTAACTAGTGTCTGGCACATAGAAAACACTCTTATTGGACGTTTACTATTATTATTTCACTAACATAATTGTTAGATAATCTCACCCATGCCTGTGGTTTTTATTACCAAATCTATTGTTAAAGCGTAGACTTTGACGCTGTCTTTTTTTTTTTTTTTTTCCATTGGAGTGCTTCATGGAATTGCGTGTCATCCTTGCGCAGGGGCTGTGTTTAATCTCTGTATCGGTCTAGTGTTAGGATATGTGCTGCTGAAGCAGGCACTACTCTGTCTTAGGTGGGTTTATCTAATTGCCACTGGCTATTTCTTCCTGAGTATCCAATTGAGCTCTCTTCCCTCCAAAATCTGTTTCTCTTAGCCCAGTAAATAATTCCAGCAACCCATTACTCATGCTAGAAGCAACCTGGGGGCCATCCTAGATACTTTACCTCCTCTAATCATTAACCAAATTTCTACTCATGGTACCTTCTAAATACCTTCTCTTCCATCCTCCCTGTCTGTCTTTGTCTCACCAAGTTTCCTTCTAATCCATTCCCCAGGCTACCAGTTGAAAGCTTTCTAAATGCAGCTTTCATCACTCACGAACCTTTGTGATTGCTTCCGATTCTTCAGTGGCAATTCTTACTAAAAAGATGCCTAAGCATAGCAATTAAAGTCCTTTGATCTGGGCTCTGCCTGTCTCCCCAAGCTTCATTATCTTGCTACTCCTCTCTTAGACTTACCTGGGCTATAATATTTCATTTTTTCCCAAATATTCTAGGCATTCATACCTCATGAGCCATCCATTGATGGCTTCTTTCTGAACAACCCATTCCTCCTTCACCTATGTTGGAGTTCAGTTTTATTTACTGAGATATGAGGTGACAGACATCAAAATAAAAGTTTCTGAAATAGGCGTGGAAACCATTCAGGTTGGGGAGTGATCTGTGAGTGAGCTCAGAACTTAAAAGACTAGAAAGAGTAAAGTATATAAAGATAGGTTGGGGGAAAAAAAAAAGAATTAGCAACGGAAGTTAAGAACTATTCATAGAGAATAAACAGGACAGATAAGGTAATATTTCAAGATACGGTGGCAATATCAAGGGCAAAAAGAAAGGCAAAACAAATCAGGCCAAAGAAAAAGCCACTGAGATTCCACTGACAATGAGAGGGCAGTTCCAGTGAGGTGTGGTGGTGAAGCCAGAATGTAAGGGATGGGGCACTTGGTACATTGGCGTGTCTGACACAGCATACACTCAGGAGTGTACATTTCTGATCACATTAACAAGTCATGTCTAATTTCTAATAAGACAAACTAAAGACAAAATTTTGGCCTTGGGGTTATTTATAAGGTCTCCTATGATCCTTTTGCTTTAAGTCTCCTATCCTACTTTTATGAGGGTACCACAGAGCACTTTATTTTTGGGAGGCAAGAGTAACCCTTTAGTTCCACAGCTATCAAAGCAACTTTTCCTTTTATTGTAGCTTTTAACCATTCACAGTACTGCAGGTCTTCAGTGGTTGTGATTCATCTAGTCTTCAACCCCTTTGTTACAATCACCATCCTCCATAATTAAAACATATTCTGTAGGAACTCAGTACACTGTGATGCCAGCCCTAATGGTAGAATAAGATACTGCTCACCCTTTACAAGGGCACCGATTTGCTTCCTATTTGCGTCACACCTCCAAACCTTTGAAACACTCACATGCAGCAGGGAGACTTATTTGAGCACCCACAACTGTCTTTCCGAACACTGCAACTCAGTAGTAATGCTTTGAGTTCAAGACTAAAAAACAGTACATCACAGCTTCCAAAGTGAAAATATAAGTAAAACAGAATTGCTTGGCCAGACGTGTGGCTCGTGCCTGTAATCCCAGCACTTTGGCAGGTCGAGGCAGGTGGATCACGAGGTTAGGAGATCGAGACCATCCTGGCTAACATGGTGAAAGCCCATTTCTACTAAAAACACAAAAAATGAGCAGGGTGTGGTGGCAGGCGCCTGTAATCCCAGCTACTCAGGAGGCTGAGGCAGGAGAATCACTTGAACCTGAGAGGCAGAGGTTGCAGTGAGCCGAGATCACATCACTGCACTCCAGCCTGGGCGTCAGAGCGAGACTCCATCTCAAAAAAAACAAAAAAAAACAAAAAAACCCCATAATTGCTTAATGCAAAATACTGCATATCAAAGACAAAACAAAGCTGTGAATTATAAATAGGCTGTAAACTAGCAGCAGAGTTACTTTCTTCCACGATAATTGTTCACATCCATTGCACTGTAGAATATTTTTTGAGTCAGTCTCGCTCTGTCGCCCAGGCTGGAGTGCACTGGTGCCATCTTGGCTCACTGCAACCTCCGCCTCCTGGGTTCAAATGAGTCTCCTGCTTCAGCCTCCTGAGTAGCTGGGATTACAGGCATGCACAACCACGCCCGGCTAATTTTTTATATTTTCAGTAGAGCGGGGGTTTCACCACGTTGGCCAGGCTGGTCTCAAACTCCTGACCTTAGGTGATCCACCTGCCTTGGCTTCCCAAAGTGCTGGCATTATAGGCACGAGCCATCACACCCGGCCTGCACTGTTGTATCTTAACTTTGAGAAACTTGTCTATTTCAAGTAAGTGATACTGTCACTGCCCAAAAAGGAAAAATACGAATCTATATAATCTCCAAATTATTTCTGAGTTGTAGGACACTAATTCACTTGAATCCAGTGGTTACTTTGCCTCACATTAGAAATACCTGGGAAGCTTTTTGTAAGCCTGTGTCTTAGCTTCTACTTGATACCAATTACATCAGTGTTTGGGAAAGGGAGCCAGGCATCTTTATTTTTAAAATATCTCTAGGTGATTTCATTGTGCAGCAACATTTTAGAACGATTGCCTTATAGTTACAATAAGGAAAGCTTTAACATTTAGGGTTCTGTGTTCCAACCCAAGTGTTCCAAAAATGGAAAAAGGTAGTCTGAGATATATTATTACAAATGGCTTTTTAAAAACCTACATACTGTGTATTTTATCGATTCTAAAGCCTTTTTCTTACATTTAACATGTCTTTAATTGGGAAGACTCTATAAGAGTCTTATGAAACAGTACACCAAGTTAATGTGCCTTGTCTCTTCAAAGAAATTACTCTGGAAAGCTATATGCTAATTCTAATAATGTTACCATTCAGAATACTTTTAAATGGCTTTTTAGAGGAGAATCTAAATTTTACATATATTTAATAGAGACAAATTTCCTGTGGAAGATTTTAGTTTTAAAAAGAACTGCGTCATTTGAAGTTAATGTGATGTGAATCAAGCTAGGTAATGTCATACTTGGTTCAAATGGAGATGTGGCTATGAGATTGACACAAATTTTTTTAAGACCTTCATAAAACATATGGAAGCAGTTCCAAAAAGTTTCCCACTGGCCATGGTGGCTCACGCCTGTAATCCTAGCACTTTGGGAGGCTGAGGTGGGTGGATCACGAGGTCAGGAGATCCAGACCATCCTGGCTAACATGATGAAAACCCGTTTCTACTAAAAATACAAAAAATTAGCCCGCCGTGGTGGCGGGCGCCTGTAGTCCCAGCTCCTCGGGAGGCTGAGGCAGGAGAATGGCATGAACCCGGGAGGTGGAGCTTGCAGTGAGCTGAGATCGCGCCACTGCACTCCAGCCTGGGCGACAGAGCGAAACTCCGTCTCAAAAAAAAAAAAAAGTTTCCCAAATATTTTTGGGCAGTGGCAGCAGTAACTCTGATTTGAATTTAAAATTCAAATCAGAATTTTAAGAAAACTTAGAGATTATTCCTTTATTACAAATGAAGGAAAACTTTTGACTCATCGGTTCAGCTGGTCAGTGGCAGACCTGCAAAGAATTCACCCTGACTCCCAGTTGAGTTTTAGCCTGAACCCTCACTCACTCCCATCCAAAAAAAAGTGGGGGTGGGGGTTGCAGGGAGGGAAACAAGCTTAGCTTTGAATAAGTGTGTTCTATCGTGTAATAATCCCTTCCCACAAACTGAATTTTAAAATATTGCAGAACTTTGCTGGGTGTTCTCAGCAGGTTTACTACTCGGTGGAAACCAGAATCAGATGTCAGACATGTTCCTTATGTCCAGTCTTATGCCTTCTTCCTTTTTTTTTTTTGGAGACAGTCTAGCTCTAGCTTTGTCACCCAGGCTGGAGTGCTGTGGCGTGCTCTCAGCTCACTGCAACCTCTGCCTTCCAAGTTCAAGCAATACTCCCATCTCATCCCCTGGAATAGGTAGGATTAGGCACCTGCAACATGCCCGGCTAATTTTTGTATTTTTAGTAGAGACAGGGTTTTGCCATATTGGCCAGGCTGGTCTCGAACTCCTGATCTCAGGTGATCCACCCACCTCAGCCTCCCAAAGTGCTGAGATTACAGGTGAGAGCCACCACGCCCAGCCCATTTCCACGTGTATGCAAGTTTCTATTCTTGTATGCAAGTTGTCTGGATCTTGAAGCCTGACCCTGTTTAACGTGGCAAGATAGTTAATCAGTGTCCTGCTTTATTGCTACAAGAGTTTCAGATAGTTTACATATAAGAACAAATGAAAGTCAACAAAAATAAACAGGTACAAGAAATTTCAGTGAAGAAAAAAGGAATTTCAAATAAATTACAAAAGAAAACTAATACAATATATGCTGTAAAGTGTTACAGTCATTAAAATCCAGCTATATACTGGCTTTGAATATATTGGCAGTCAATAAAGATAAGTTAACCAGTTGAGATTCATACAGGCCAAGTTTACCAGATGCTTAGGAGATGCAAGGCTGTCAAGAAGGGTTTTGCTGTCTGCGTGACTAATCTTACATGAATGTTTTCCCAGAATTGAATTTTCCAAAGAAATATGGGGACAAGGGGCTGCAGTTGTGGGTATTCTGTTTTGTCATTCAAAGGCAGATCTTTCTACATTACAAATCAAAGTACAACTGACAACCTCTCGAAACTGAAGAACCTAAGCAGTAGCCCACAACCTCACATCTGCCTAGAGGAACAACTGGGTAGAAAAGACCAACCAACCAATCTTTCGCCATTCAGTCAGCCCTTCTGCCTATTTTGGGCTTAAATTTCTATGAACAGTATTAGTTCTGCCCTTTCAAATTGAAGGGTTATTCTCTCTGGTGAAAAAATTAGGAGT